CCCCGCGAGGATCCAAAAAGTAGATCCATTAAGGGGTTCCTATAAGGTACCCTTTGGTAGTTAGGGTCCCAAACTAGGGGATCATACCCTATAGAACACCGATACGAACCCTCAAGATCCCCTAAAAGTAACCCTTAAAGGAGCTGAAGAGCCCCCAAGAAGCCTCCATCGCACATCTTGCCCTTATCACAATTACGCAAATACACCCTAAATTCCTAAACCCTAATGTAAGGGGCCTTAATGGTTCGAATAGGGTTTGGGGGGGGCTTCCTTCTTACAATTCTAGTATAATATACCCACAAAAAAAATCTGTTCGAACTCGTACGGCCCCTACATTACTCGGCTCTCTGGCTCGGATCTCCTGCAAACCCCACCGGCGCAGGAGAGGCTGCAGCAGCGCGCGCCTGGGGAGGCTCCAGGGCTGGGGTTTGACGGCTGCTGTAGCAGCAAGGGCCCCGGCGATGTATGCATGTATCTATGTATGATATTATAGTATCCTATTAGCACGAAAGGCCCGATGTCAGTTCAGTCAGCCGAGGGACTTCAGAGCGCGAGTGGCGCTCTCTTCGAGGCCGCTCCTTTCAAAGAGATCGGGCAAGAGCCGAAAGGGGGGGTTTAGGGTTTAGGGTTTGGGGTTTAGAGTTTAGGGGTCAGAGGGTTTCATACGGTTTTGAAGGTTTTGGGGGCTTGGAGGGATTGCACAGGAGCGGGGTTTGTCTAGGCCGCATTCAGGGTTGAGGCAAAGGGGGTTGGGAAGCATCTGAGTTTCGGCTTAGGATGTGTGGTTCGCTTGAGCGTAGAGAGTGCAAGAACAAGGTGTTCTTGCCTTCAGGGTTAGGCGTCGGGTTTCTGTGGAGAAGGTTTAGGGTGGGGCAGGGTGGCACAAGGGTCGACATACTGGTGATGATATAAATCCTGCATGACCTTGAGGACCCTAAACTACCGGGGGTTATAGTATATTTCGTATTATAGGCAATGCAGGATTTAAATGTGATTGAAACCATCAACCGTAGTTTCAATCGTTAACCGCTAATCGAAGATGCTCCGACTGGTTGCAAGGGTGGCGGTCCTCTCCGCCCATCCAAAGGATGTGAGCTGAGCAGGATAGATCACGGCCTTCTCTCATCAGTGTTTGCTTCTTTCAAAAGTCATCCAACTTGCGATCTGCGCTCTCAAACGCTGCACGTTTAGACTCGGCATTGGCAGAAGCACCTATAGCGTGTCGTAGAGTATGCGCGCAATTGGAAAACTCATCCCCAAGCCTCCAGCAGGGTGCCGACAGGGAAGTAGGAATTCCTGTGTGGCCGAGCATGGTAGTCTACCCGCCGTCCGATTGGCATGTTACTTGAAGGGTTTAAGGATGACACATCAGAATATAAGGGCCGTAACAATTTGAACAACATGTTAGAGTATATTATATTACTTCAGACTGCTATGCTGCTATGCCAAACCCACTACAGTACATCCCTGAAGCCCTAACCCCCCAAACCCCAAACTCTAAAACAAAACCTAGACCCCTGAGCCCTAAACCCCTGACCGCTAAGCTCCTCCTAAACCTCAGCCTCTAAACCCCTAAACCCTAAACCCCTAAACCCTAAACCCTTAACCCTAAACCCCTAAATCCAAACTTCTATGAAACCTCAACCTCTAAACCCCAGACAGGACAGCGAGCTCCATACGTGCAGCCGACTCGCTGGGGCAGGAAGATCACTTCAGCTCCAGGGGATTTCTCAACGACTCCCTTAGAGCTCAAGGTTTAGGGTTTAGGGTTCAGGGGTTTAGGGTTTAGGGGTCTAGGGCTCAGGCCTTGTTAGGGCTGAGGGTGTAGGGCTCAGGATTTAGGGTTTAGAGGATATACGACTTAGGGCTTAGGGGTTCGGCCAGTTTAGGGCTCAGTGCTTAGGATTTAGGGTCTGGGGGTCAACGGGCCCACGTCCCAGCTTCTTTGCTTGGAGGAAGCCACTCAGAAAGCCCAAGGCCCCTGAACCCAAAATAGGGGTGAACTCTAAGGGTTTCGGGTTGAGGGTTCGATTTAGGGGCTCAGGGTTGAAGGTTCCTCTTTCGGTTCAGGCTCCCTATACCCTACGGAACCCTCAACCCTAAATCCTAAACTCTAAACTCGGCACAGAGTCCTAAACCCTAAACCCTAAACCCTAAAAACCCTAAACCCCTAAACCCTAAACCCCAAACCCGAAAATGTCCTAAGAGGTGCTGCCCAGAGGCCTCCCCTGCTGACCAGAGACCCACCAAGGCCCGGAGGATCGATGACTTCCCGATGCCTACGGCAGGGCGTCATTGGGTTTCGATGGTTTTAGCACTTATGTATTTGGCAAAGCTCAGGAGTTTAGGGCTACATCGGGTTTCGGTGGCTTCACTCAGCACTTACGTTGGTAAAAGCTTAGGGAGTTTCGGACTTCTCACCTTGAACCTGACGACTAGAAACACAGGACCTCAAGACGGAGCCACACTCACGCAAACAACGGCCTGAGCCTCCGGTGATCAGCAGGCCTTGCCGAGTTTCGGAGAGTGAGGATGTGGGGCTGGGTTTAGGGTTTAGGGTTTCGGTGAGTGAGGATATGGGGCTTCGTGCCAGGCTTTCATGCAAGCAGAAGAGAACAGCATTGGAGAACACCACAGCCCAACTGCATGCCCTTTTATAGTATAGGATTCCCTTCTCTACGGGCACCTTCCTACTGAAGGGCATCCCGATTTGGGAACTCCCCGGTATGCCAGCGTTCAGGGTTTACGCTGGAGGGCTTCCTTACTAGGAAGATGCTAGAGGAAGGCGATTACTTCGCTGCCTTTCCCAGCTTCGCATGCGAGGCTGACCTTGGATGGAATGTGGGGCAAAGGCATGAGCGGTAAAAACACCGTTATTGAGCCGACAATTGTAGTTTCTAGTTAGATTATGGTTGCTATCGTCAAGTTCATTTCAATAACTGCGGGACTATTGTAGCCAGTAATACTGCTACTGTAATCAAAACGGTAATTCAACATCGATAGCAGGGTAGCAACAGTCAAGATGGCTTGTGAGCATCAAGTCGAAACCAAGGATCCAGCTCCACTCTGCCCAAATCGAGCCAAGTGGCTCCACCCACAGCTGTGGTGCCGCCAGGTGTGAAGACAAAGAGTGAGGTAAAGGCAAACGCCACGTCTGTGTCCTTAGTTCGAAAACAAGAAACTCGAAGCATCACCCTAGGTCCCAGATAGCTTGCACCCTGCAGCCTACAGCTAAAATCTGCATAAACCTATGAACCGTGTACTGTCGACACTAGATCCTCCTGACATCTGATACTTGGCCCAAAGCCAAATCCTGCAAACCATTTTTATACTTCAGATCTATGCCCAAACCCTAAACCCTAAACCCTGAACTCTAAACCCTAAACCCTAAACTCTAAACCCTAAAAACCCTAAACTCTAAACCCTAAACCCTGAACCCTAAACCACAAGCCCCCAACAGCTCTTTGACGCCGAAGATCGCAGGCAGCGAAGTCGATGACCGAGTCCGCGGGCGGCTCCTCGTTGACCTCTCTATCCAGGGGTTACCCATAGGCCCCTAAATAGGGTTTTAGGGTTTAGGGTTTTAGGGTTTCAGGGTTTAGGGCTTTAGGGCTCTAGGGGTTTAGGGTTTACCCATAGGCCCCTAAGTAGTTCCTTTTTGTGGTTTATATTCATTAGAATCCTATAAGGTAATCTCAAAAAGGAACTACTTAGGGGCCTATGGGCACCGGGAGCAGGAGGGGTTTTGGGGTATATTGTTACTGTAATTATAAAAAGGAAACCCCCAAAATAGTAGTATAGGTAATCATCTGGGGGGTGGTTGTAGAGTTTATAGGGTTTAGGGATATTTAGGGGCTTGAAGCTTAGGGATTGGGGGCTTCAGGGCTTGGGGATTTAGGTTTCAGAGTTTAGGGGGGTCCCAAGGGAATACTTCCAGGTTCCCAATGCCAGTTCATGTGACGATGCTTGTTGCTGGTGTTGCTCGCCTTGTTGTTCGCCACATCTTTAGCATGATCACGACTTGCTTGATGTCCTCATTCCCAGCACACCGACACTACTGCTAATAGTTTATTCAAAACTGAACCAACCAAACCGGAACAGATTTCTTTGCTGTTGTTCCAAACTAGGCTCGGTCGTTTGGCCATTCTAAGACCCAGCCCTCCCAACACAGCGAGAACAGTCCTACCAGCCCTAACCTCATGAATAGAACCAATAATATGCAGCTTGGGGGTTCGTGGCTTCGTGTGTAGGGGATTTTGGGACCCTAAACCCTATAAACCCTAAACCCTAAAACCTAAAACCGTAACCCTAAACCGTGTTGTAGGGGATTTGGGGGTTTTAGGCTTCCGTTCCCCCCTGCCGGGCCTCATCAGCGGCTTCCCAGAGCTGCCACAGCCGCTCCCCATTCGCCTGCCTGGGCTCCCAAGGAGCTCCCAATTGGTACATCATATTATGTTTCATATTGTACATATATATATATATAGTTACATAGTTATATTATATATATATTAATTATATTGTATTATGTTATAAGTTATAACTATCACTATATAGTATATTATCTTATGGGGATGTCAGACAATCAGAGGCCCGTTGTGGGGGGGGTCCTTTCTTGTGAGGGGCGCCGCCTAAATTAGTGTACCACTGTCTGCTAAACTCCTGAAATTAATCTTGCACTGCCTTTGCAGTAAAGACAGATAGCTGAGCTGCATTTCATCAGCAGTCGAAGGAACCCCGCGGTGCATGTTCATGCGTGTCCCCTCTAACTTCACAGCTAAGCAGCAGCTGCTTCAGCTTGGCGTAAGAATTTGCCAGGAAGTCCATGACCTGCAATTTGCAGAGGAAGAGCTGGGCGGAATCCAAGCCCAACTTATATGAGGACCATGGTAGCATCCATGAACCCAAACCCTAGACCGATACTGATACGACCCTAAACCCTAAACGCGACACCCCGACCGGTGGAGCCTTGGCCACCTGCATGTATCCAGTCTGACACCGCAGGGCGTCCCCGAAGTTCAGGACTCCTTGTCGGGGCAAGTCTGGGCTCAAGTCGCATCTCCGGGGCCCAGGAACCCACCACGAGTCTTATCTCAGCCGTGTTCGCAATCCTGTCGCGGAAATCATCGTCATGGCTGCCAGTGCAGCAGGATGGATATTTCTAACCCTAAACCCTAAACCGTAAACCCTAGAAGCCCGCCCCCCCCCCCCCCCCTATACCCACGAGATTTGTGGTATATGTCTATGACGTTCCTGCCTGCTTCGATCTGCGGAACCTGGTACAGCCAAAGGATGACCTCGGGAATAAAACAACTACAGGAGGGTTCAGGGTTTAGGGTTTATAAGGTTTAGGGTTTAGGGGTTTAGGGTTTAGGGGTTTAGCGGAGGACTTCGATTGCCTGGGCCCGCTTTAGAGCAGGCTCGGCTCGGGTGACTCGACAGCAACTCACAGCTTCGGGCTCAACGACTCACTATTGCAAGCCGGGGCACGACAGGAAAGAAGTCAACGATGCCCAGCGTCGTCGAAAACAGCATGCTGATGAACGCCTACAGGCTCGACAAACAATAGAGCAAAGTACATACAAGTTGAATGCCCGCAGACTGACCTTTACTCTCACTGTACAAACCTTTACTCTCACTGTACAAACCCTTTGCTGTAGCAGGCGCAGCTCGTTAAAGCCAGGCAGCATTGCATCTCAATGCCTGCAGACGGCGTTCAGAAGCATCAACTCGACTCAAACCTCTGTTGCCTCTCCATGCACAGGCTCGCCCTCACACTTGGGCGCCCGCATCGATGTGGGAATTGAAATGGTGCCTTGAGCGAGCAGCTTCAACCTCCGGGGATCCAAGGTCCAGGTCACCGAATCAGAGTTTCGAGATTGGAAGCTTGCACCTTCGTCCTTGACAAAACTGACCACATGGGACTTTCCGAAATTAGGATACCTTATTTTGGGGTCCTTATAATAAGGATCCTACTATTTAGGGTACTATGTTAGGGTCCCCTATTTTCGGAAACCCCCACATGTTGCATCTTATGAGCGTGGCATTGCACGATGGGCGCCTGATCTCCGTGTGCAAGAGCCACAGGTTCTGCATGCTCGCCTTGAGTGCCAGAGGGCTCTCCCCCGTGCATTATGGTATGTCATATATCATGATATAATACCACATCATTGCGTATTGCACTGTAGTATAGTCTCGTATGCTATCGTCAAGTATTGTATAGCATAGTATAGTGCAGTATAATGTAAGGCTCCGCTCTTTGAAGCCGTGCTGGGAAGCAGGCGCAGACGGGCCAGAGAATAGCGGAAGGTGGCACCTCGTCCGAGGGAGTGTGTAGGAGGGTTTCGGAATGTTTCGGCATTGATGATGTAGGCTTTATAGGGTCGACTCTCAACAGCATGCAAACACCTCGTGCCGTGAATTGAAATTCAAGAAGCAACCAAGCTCGAAACCCTAAGCCGTCGACCAAACTGATACATGGAATGCTCGATATGCGTGTATACACATTCTATACCGAGTAAAATGCTTTGTATATCCTGGTCCAACGGAAGACCGCTTTCGCTGATCAGACAAGAAACCTCTGTCGAGGTCCCAGTTGCATCTTATACAACATACATCATTTAGATGCGAGATCTTCAGTATTACGGGTGCATTTCCTCGCGAGAAGATCCCTGCCGCACCTCGAAACAGGGTTAGCAGTCCTTGATTGGACCTCAAACGAAGTTTCCCGACCGTACCGCCAAAGCGGTCTTCCGAATGAAAATATATCATGACAGACATCGCTCTGTGAGCTCGAGCCTGTCTCAAGCTGATCCTTGAAGGCATCCACCAAGGCATTCCCGAAGAGACCTGGAGATGCAGGGTAATGTAGGGGCCTTAACAATTAGAATAGGGTTTTGGGGATATTTTACTATAATCATAATAAGGAAACCCCAAAACCCTATTCTAATTATCAATCCCATCAAAATCCACAGACGAAGTAAGCATTACAAGAGCACTAAGACTGGAAGTGGCTAAAGCCCTAGATGATGCCCGGACTGTACCAAATTGCAACGTTCTTACTTATCTGCAAAACAGCAAACATGCGCCTTCGATGTTGTGCCAATGCAAGACAGAAACTTTGTTGTTCTGTAGGGTTCGGTATGCAGAAGTCCACTTAGCTATGGCCCGTCCACACGGGGCCTAAACCCGAGGAGGTATGTCGTACCAAGCCACTGATCGAGAGCATCAGCCGTAGACATGCCATGCCCATGCAGGTTGCCAGGAGGGCATAGCCGCCCAGCTGGATCATAACCTTACCATGATAGCCAAAGAGGGCTGATCAGGTTGATGACATGTGCTACTGAAGAGTAAGAGCAATGATGCCAACCCTACAGTCTTGCAGTGAAGGTTAGGGCTTGGCTTCAAGAACGGATGAGCAGTGTCTGAGCCCCGGGCTCCCGCCCATGCCAGCATTCCGAACCTTGCATCGCAGATCCCAGCACGTAGACTTAGGAACGCGCATCTATCATCGTCGAAGACTTTGTGGAGAAAGATGTAATTCAGCCTAGCTACGCTATATGGGAGCTTCTAGGCTACAACGGACCCCCAACATATAAACCCCTTAACCTAGAAGCCCCTCATGGGGCAGCTGCAACTCAGTGATTGCGAGGCAAGTCCTGCCTCCACAAAGATCATGACAGCGATGCAAGTTCCATTTAAAGCTCAGAGTTGATGCCTTCAACGGAGCTCAGGGTTCAGGCTCTCAGTTCTAGTTTGACTAACTACAGCCCATCAAAGCCCTTCACCAAGTGAAGGGGAGCCGCACCGCAGAGAGGAATCCAGAGAAGAGCACGTACATGAGGAAAGCAAACCTTGAAGAGGGGAGGTTTAGGCTCTATAATATAAGGGTATAAGTATAAGGGTTTAGGTTGTATAGTACAATATACCCCAAACCCTGTTCGAATTATTAAGGCCCCTATATTAGGCTCTACAAGGGTATACCCATAGGCTCCTTAGTAAATCCTTTTGGGATTACCTTTTTGGATTCTAAATATGAGCCATAAAAAGGAACTACTTCGGAGCCTAAGGGTATAAGGGTTTCGGGTGATTTTCCCGTCTGGAGTCGGACCACTGCAACTCGTGTGCCATGGCTTGCAGCTGTTCGTGTAGTACGGTAGAATCTGGGGGTTGAAATAGTCTGCCCTGTTTTCAGGATCGCGGAGGGCCTCGCATGCATCAGAAAATCGGAAAGCCCTACATTGTTGTGAATGTTTCGTGCAATATAAGCTTCTGGCTGTTTTTGTCCGTTGCTCATTGCCGCGACTGGCGGACTTTGACTTCCCCTAAACCCTGAACGGCCACATGGCTGCTCCTGAGGCGCTGCTCTGCAGACTCGCTGATGCGCTGATCCGGGTTGTCGAGGTCCCGCTTCTGAGTTCAGCAGAGCTGCAGGGGTCGAGAGTTGAGGGCACTCTTAGGAAGTTTAGGGCTGAAACATATATGATGCAGATAGACAAACCTTGAATGTATGCCAGGCACCTCGTCATCCATCTTGAGCTTGTAGTAGGCCTGGCTTCCGCCTGTTCGATCTTGCACGTTCTTGCGAGCTTTAGGAATGAACACACCGCGACTTGGTAGGCCTGAGATGTAGGACTGGAGCATCGAGTTGGTGATGTAGCCTCAGCCCCGAATGCTGCATGAAACCAGAAACTTGAGAAGCACCGAACCCTCAAACCCTGAAACTCAGATCTGCTTCGAGGGACTCTGAAGCGACGATGCAAACCACCTGAGTGCAAGCGGGCACAGGGTCCCAAGTTCTGGTGCTGGTCGGTGTTTGGATTCATGCATATTGTTATACACAAGGTGTGTATATATATATAGATTTATATGTATGTATATATATATATACATACCTATGTATTTATCGCATTCTCTCTCTCCCTCTCTCCGGGCAGAGGTGACGGTCACGTCCCCCGAGCTTCAAGCCCACCCAGTCTTTTTGATAGGGTTTCTCTCTCTCTCTCTCTCTCCCTCCCTCCCTCGCTCCCTCCCTCTCTCCCTCTCTCTATCTACATCTATAAAGATTTACAACTACTTCTCTGACCACAGCTACATCTATATCTATGTCGATACCTATAGCTGTAGCTATATCTATATACATGTGTATGCATATGTATGCATGTATGTATGTATGTATGTATGTATGTATGTATGTGTGTATATATGTTTATTTATTTATGTGTTTAAATATTTAGACTTATATTTATATTGATATTGATATTTATATTCCTATATATGCACAATTCGATGTACAGGTACAACGCCCACAAAGGTGCGATTGCCTTGCTACTCATGTAAGTATAAACAGATGTGTGTGTGTGTGTGTTTTTGAGTTTGAGCATGTGCATGTACGCACATTCATTTGTACGTGGTATGCACTCCGAAGACTCAGTGCTTCTGCGCGGCGCTTGGATCATCGGATCCTTACCACTGACAGCAACAAGCCAACTGTGAAGGATCTAGAACCAGAGATGACTTGGCTTGCCCACAGGTTCACACCCCAGATATGCGCAGCTATGCTGATAAAGTCTGCACAAAAACCTAACATTCTGACTTGCACGCTAGCCTGCGGAAAGCACAACAGTTGAAATCCAGCGGCCAAGATGAGAAACAGGGGCGCTGTGGCGATTTGCCAGGCCAGCATGGAGAAGAGGCGGCTGTAAACCAAGGAAAGGTCCTAAGCTGCAGGTGAGATCCGTTTTTGTTCATGCAGTACGTATTCCAAGCCAGGCTTGTGATGATGGAAGACATTGTCATGTATCACCAGGCAGCAGATACATATGCAGCAATATGATGCAGTAGCAAAGATGTCTAACAATGCCTGACATGGTTAAGGCTTTGCTTCTCTGCACTGTAGAACTTAGCAAACAAGCTTGATGGCCGATGCCCTAGCGAGTCACTCAATGAAGTACTAGACAGCCTGATTGCTTAGTCCGTTGGTTAGTTCCTCTTTTCTTTCATTGGACCACGCATGCCATTCTTTTCCTTTTCTTCCTAAATTCATCCATTCGTCTGTGGTTCATTCGCTCGACGGCTCACTTATGAACCCATTGGCTAACCTGCTGGCGGCTACATGTGATGTGTGGGTGAATGTATAAATACAGATATACTGTACATGACATTTCCTGAATTGCAGGAGCGCAGTGCACGCTGTCTGGGAGAGTGCAAGGGAAATCTCAGGCTCATCTGTGCTACATGTTGATGTGCCACAGTCATAAGTTCCACTGGGTTGGAAGATATATCCCAGTCTTGCAAAACTGGTTCATCTTCATGATTCGTAAAAATCGTAAATTTCAAGGCAATCTCCCGGGGTGCCTGCTTCCCCAGCATTTGCGAACTACAGAATCAGCAACAATAGCCCCAATCAAGAAGTAGTTCTGCAAATATGTCAAGCTTCTCTCGTGCTCCGCACAGCAACGATAGCATTGGTCAGATCGGCCGTCAGAGAGGATAGGAGCTGTGCATATGTCCACTCTCTGAGAAACCAGTGAGCTATTGTGAGCAGACAAAGGCTGGTCGACACACACCTGTATGCATCGTGTGTCAGCCAGCCTTTGGCTATCTTGTACACGGACTGAATACCGGCGAAGTCCCGGAGGAATGCTGCCACCCCCGAGTATCTTTCCTCCGGCTTCTGTTCGTTCCGTGGACCAGCAGCTTGAATGCGCGTCCGTCTGGCAATGTACTGCATGAGCAGCGCGACGAGTAAGTTCATGCCGATAAGAAGGGGCACAAGGCAAAGATTCTGCAAGCTGCCCCCTGGCTGTAACAACTTGAACAGTAAATTCCCATGCAAGTTCTCTGCCCCATAGAGCTGATGGTAGCCATGGTGGCTACCATGGCTACCTGAGGGTAGGCTGACATTCGCAAATCCCGGCAATAGGTGCTGTAGCACTGATGCAGGGGCGGAGTGGCCCACCACGAATGGCAGCAGCATGGTGTGGCATGGCCATATCTGGCTACACGCGTCTTATCTTTGGTGGTGTCTGCTTGTTTTGGAATGTTCTGGAGAAATATCGGCTGAATCTCATTTCTGAGACATATGCTTCTATCTTGGTGCCCTTAGTCCGGAGCTGTCCTGAAACCCAAAGTGCCACGTAGGCGCCGTCTTTAAAGATAGCGTGGTGCAACTATAGAAGATGACTACTGGGAACATTGTCGGTGATTGTTCCGACCCCTGCCTGCTAGATTTCCATTAACTCAGCCTTTGCATTCTGAATGGTCCTTCTAAGGAATGACTCTGAACTTCATGCAGATGGCACCGAAATACGTGGGATTGCGCTCGGTTCAGTACCAAAGGCCTTGAGCAAAATTGGATCATCCAGACTTGATTGCACCACTCACATAGCCGGGCCTGCTTGAACGACCAGCGCTGCAACTGCTGTTCTGCAAAAGCTTGGTATGGCTAACTATTCTGAGCAAGCATACCTCGTGACCATGATGACTGTGAGTGTGAACATGGTCCATGGTAGTAGTTATAGCCTTAAGAGTAGAAGCAAAATCTCTGATTAATCATGACCGCAAGCATGGTCGAAGGCCTCGCTGGCTGCACTGGGGCGCCTGGAGCAGACCGATGCAGGGCCTCAGCATCATTGGAGGGCCTCAAAAGGTGAGATGAAAGTCGGTAGGACTAAGGATCCCCTTATACAATAACTATAATATGTTATAGTTTTCTAATATATTATAGTATACTATAGTATATTATAGTATATTATAGTATACTATAGTATATTATAGTATATCATAGTATATTGTAGTTTGTACTGTAATTACAAGGGCTCTTATTTGGGCCCCACCTACCTGCCAGCCCTGGCGCGCTGGGAAGCGTCTGAGCTTCAAGCTGCAAGGCTTGGGGCTCATCTAGGGCCCTTATCATTAGGGTTTAAGGTTTTGAAGTTTCAGGGTTTAGGGTTTTAGGGTTTAGAGTTTCAGGGTTTAGGGTGGGGTATACTAAACCATACAACTGAACTACAACATACTATATAGCGACATAGGAAGTTTAGTTGACGACTATTCAACACATCAGATCCCTATAGTCGGGCGCTGTATGTCCGGTTTTGGTCACATGGCCTGAAGGATGTCACGTACCTTCGGCTTGGGATGCCTGCTGAGGAAACTCGTCCAAGCTCTAAGAAGGAATCGGTAGGCAACTGCTCATGGGGGTGTCTACTAGCGATACTAGTGCCCATGAAGAAAGAGATAGACTCTTGACCCCCATTCGGAAAACAAAGGCAGCGATGCACCCGGCAGGCCATTGAAGGCTGCATCTGCAAACATCAACGGAGTCTTGATGCACGATACTTTGACCCACACCATTTCGTAGGCTGAAGCTTCAATCTCAAACTCTGAAGCGCGCGCCCCGGCCCTAAATCCTAAAAACCATAAACCCCACCAACCCTCAGAACTGAGGCACAAGCTGGGATGAAGAACAGGTCGCGGCTCTTCACTGCCCGCAGGCTGCGCCTGGCCCCAGAGGATCTGGCTACAAATGCGGTTACCACAAGCACAGTGGTAGCAATAGCAATAGTAGCAGCAGCAGCAGTAGTAGTAGGAGTAGGAGTAGGAGTAGGAGTAGGAGTAGGAGTAGGAGCAGGAGTAGGAGTAGGAGTAGAAGTAGAAGTAGAAGTAGCAGTAGCAGTAGCAGTAGCAGTAGCAGGAGCAGTAGAAGTAGAAGTAGAAGTAGAAGTAGAAGTAAAGTAGAGGTAGAGGTAGAGGTAGAGGTAGAGGTAGAGGTAGACGTAGAGGTAGAGGTAGAGGTAGACGTAGAGGTAGAGGTAGAGGTAGAGGCAGAGGTAGAAGTAGAAGTAGAAGTAGCAGTAGAAGTAGAAGTAGTAGTAGTAGTAGTAGTAGTAGTAGTGGTGGTAGTAGTAGTAGTAGTAGTAGTACTAGTAGTAGTAGTAGTAGTAGTAGTAGTAGTAGTGGTGGTGTAGTAGCAGCGGGAGTACTATTACCATGACATAGGTCGGACTTCACGTCTAGGACGGGTCAAGGTGGCCACGAATCGACTTCTGCTGCTGCTGGCAGTCCCCTTGCTCCCTGCGCCTTGGAGGAAGAGCAACGTTGTGCGAACCTTGGCTTCTGACAGACATGGTACACTGAAACAGCAGGAGGCATGTTTCATAAGTTTGTACAAGAAAGACTATGAGCATTACACCACTTTCGGAGACGGCTGGGACCAGTTTGCTGTAGGTCATCCCGTTTAGGCTTAAGACATTTGCCCCGAATAAGGTGGACCCAGAAACCCCAAAACACCCTCCTCGCAGGGGTCCCCTGATGAGGATCATATGGGGCTTCATGTTCTGACCCTGGGCCCTAAACGAAGAAACTTTCGGGTGTAGTGTAGTCCTTCCGGTCACAGATTGCGAGCGCAACGTGTGCACATCGATTTGGATTTGTAAACAGTCTCGGAGCTCAGATTTCAAGTCCAAGTGAACACAGCAGACTTGCATGCAGCTGGTTTCGGCCGCAGCGTAACGGCCCGGTCGGGCCAGACGAATTACAGCACAAAGCAGTGACTCGACAAAGTGTTCTCCGCTATACAAAGAGCGCGCTGCTCTTTTAATCTTGATAGGGGAACTGCAGCGCAGCCGTGTCCCTCAAGATCTTCTCGGCCTGCTTCGGCACCATGCACTGCAGGCGAAGGATATTCTGCATGATGAGCTGCACATCATTGTTCATGGGCGAGGGAGGCGCAGGAGCTGCCTCTGGCACATTGCTGTAGCCTCCCCACCAGACTCCATCGTTCATGATGGCCGTGTTCGGCGTCGCACTACCAGTCAAGCCGCTCCTGGCCGTGGCACTGTTAACCCCCATGACATTATAATACCCTGATAGAAACCTTAAAGATCCTTTTAAGGAACCCTAATCTTCCCGCGACGTGGTACTTGTGAGGACGAAATCCGCCGCGATGGACATCGAAGTCTTCCCACGTGCTCCAGTAGTTGCTCCAATATCGCCTGGCACGATACTTAAAACAAACCGGTGATCGGACAACTAAGGACTTAGAGCATCTCAAGACAAGCGTGAGTGGAGAAACAAAAACATTCATCATGCATATGTGTATCTTTATGTTTACATAGGCATGTATGAATGTATGGAAGTATGTAAGTATGAAAGTATGTATGTATGTATGTATGTATGTATGTATGTATGTATGTATGTATGTGTGGATGTGTGGATGTGTGGATGTGTGGGCGTATGTATGTTTGTATGTACATATGTATATACACATGTGTATGCATGTACAAATATTTACATACATGCGTGTTTCTGTATATACAAAATTCGGTAATTATATGTATATATATATACACATACATACATATGTGTAGATATGTGTATATTGTACACATGCATATTGTGTCAGAGTGCATTTCGCGAAGGCCTGCCAGTGTAACTTTGTGGCCACTGCCAGCGGCCACCATTGTCCCACTCGGCGCGGCGACGGTGGCGGCCACCGTTCGGCATCGTCTCAAAGCGTTAAGGGTGGGACGACTAGCTACCTTTCAGCAAGACTGTGCCGGCATGCAGCACAGGTGCCTGCGGGGCAGCATTCATCAATACACCAGTTACCAATTCGAAACCGCACCGCTATGTGACTCAGGTCCCCGCAGATTTTCCAGTACATCTGTGGCATCGGCAGACGGTGACTGCGTCGGCCGACCTGGAAGACTTATGAATTGGTCGCTTGCGGCATCTTTCTTCATGATCACTATGCTCACCATGACCGTACGATCCTCATCATCATCATCATCATCATCAACATCATCGTCATAACCATGTCACACCGTATGTCTGCAGACATTGCAGGCGTGTTTATCATGTTCTTTTTACAGCATCGCTGTCATCCTGTTTCGATGCTGGTCGGTACTGACATCACGGTCTTGTTGGGGCTGTTGTCGTGAGTACGGTTACCGTGGTCACTGCTCTTTCTGCAGTGCTTTTACTTACTTGCTGTTCGCGGCTTCTGCGCCTTGAGAATCGTGACGCCTGTGAGAACTCCGTGATATGTATATCTTTACTCCATAATCTCAAAGCCCATATAAGTCAAGCTTCTGAACCATGCAACACTAAACTGCGACCGACGCCCGCTGTTACTCACGTGGCCATGCAAGCTGTTGCAAGTAGATTGATCAATACTCCAATGATGACAACACTATTGCTAACGACATTAAGAACACAAGAAGACACCCAACTCACAAAACCATCCATCTGGGTGCTCCGCAAAGTGTGCGCAGCTCGTTGGCAGTCGCCTTGAGCTCAGCTGTAGCCTGGGCTGCAACAGGCCGGTGCCAACTTTCAGTCATAGTTTAGCATATCTTAACCGGTTTCTGTCTACTTCTTCTCACCTTTCGCTTCTGCCACTTCTCTTGATTACGACACGCCCATTCTAAGAACGATGGCCTGATTCGAAACGCCTTCACGCCAACCCCCATATCCTACACTCCTGAAACCAGAATCCGACATACTCGGAACCCAAACACTAAACCCGAAAATCCAAATCCGAAACCCCTGAATCCCAAATCGTATATCGTGAACATCCGAATGACTAAACACTGAACCTCATTGCAAAGTGAGATTCAAGGCCCCCCACCTCATAGACTTCTCTTTGTAAGGCCGTCCGGAGTTCGAGAACCAGGTGCTCCCTGTATTCTCTCAAATGCACCTGCTTCGTTTACTTCGTTTAAGGTTTAGGGTTTGGGCTGTCGGTTTAGGGCTTGGGTGGCAAGGCACACAAAATCTAGTACAGTGCTCCTGCTTCTAAGATTCCATGTCTTCTGCGGCCGCGACGGCCACTGCTTCTTTCAACAACTATGATCGTTACTTCTTACCGTTCTACCGCTTTCGGAATGAAGACAGGGGGATGGCAGTCGCATCGAGCGGAACACTCACGCCGACCCAACCTGGACTCCGAGCCCAAAACAGATTCCAAATCACACACCGCTTACTACTTGCACTAATTAGCAACACAAGCATTATAGACACGAAGATGCTAACATATGGTAAGTGGAAAGGTATGTAGCTTGACGAACCGAGAGGTGGGTCACAAATGGTTGTTGATGAAACCTGTACATACCAGCAGCATTGCGTTACGACTTAGGACCTTTTTAACCTGTGTGGTTATGCGAGCAAGAGCATGTCTTGTGTGCCTGTGCATGTGCGCTCTCGTGGGTGGGTGGGGGGGGCGGAGAGGGGAGCAAGAACAACCGCCTGCATTCCCCTAATTCATCTCGACGTCTAACTGCAACTCGGTTGGCCTCTCTGCCTGCACATAGGCACGTATGTGTGAATGCAGTGCAATTGTACGATTGTCGTTGCGGGTGTTTGAGCGCATGTACACTGTTTGCATCTATGCATATGCATCCCCAAAGTTATACAGTTATACCTAGAAGAAAATACACAGATAGCTAACCAGAGATATCTACATATCTAGATATATATACACACATACCCATACACATATATAACTTTAGATATAGATATAGATATAGATATAGATATGTAGATACATATCTATTTATATATATATATACATACACATCTATACATATTCTATACGTACGTGTATATATATATATATACACATGTGCATACACACACACATGCATACATACATACGAGTACATACATACATACATACATACATACATCCATCCATCCATCCATACATACATGCATGGATGCATGCATACACACATAACAAACGCGAGCTGCCCTGCCTCCATAGCTTGCTTGAGCGGAGCAAGGCATGCTGCCTGAAACAAAGCAGAGGCATTTCTGCAAGCAAGAGAGCGGGAGCATCATACCTTTGTATTGTTTGTCTACATACGTATGTATATACATATGTAAAAGTAACAACAAATGTTACATATATGACTAAAAATTCGGAACATAAATCTGAACAACTTTATGTGTATATATATACACACACAGACACACACACACACGCACACGTGCAGAAACACATTTTGGAGGAACGAGAGCTACGTTGGACTTATCAATTTCTGACCGTGTCCTATCTGCAGTATGCTCAGGGCTGTGGAGGGCTGTGGGGGTCCCCGAACCGCCTGATAACCCCGGGACCAAAGGGGATGTGCCCACTCAAGAACGCATGAAATCATCATCTGAGGAAGCTTGCGAAACTCCAGCATGCAGCTTCAACGAAAAATTGACGAGTTGCATCAGCCAGCGGAATTCAACCCTTGATTTTGCGCACTTCACGTCGTTCGCACGTGTATCCAAGACGGACAGCCGCACCCCGGAAAACGCGACCATTCCATTTTGCACGTGCTTCCGCCCCGCGTAAGCAAAGAACTCCTGTAGTCCTTTGCGCTGGATCCGTTTCCGGTTTAGAGACCTCCCTTGTCTTTCCTGCAACTTTCTGGACGGCTGCCAAAGGTGAACGACTTCAATGTGCTGAAGCGGTTTTGCGCATCTTCTTTTGGCACATTGGCAAGCTCGGCAATAAAACCGTTGGCTTTAACTCCTCGTACAACTCCCACTCGCGCTTAGGAACTTCTTCTTTGAGAGTCGCATTCGCTTCGTGCCATCCTGCTCGTCGTCGCACTGTGAGGTATTCCTCGTTCTGAACAGGCGCGCTGTCTGTACCTTTCTTGGGCTCCTTATATCCGGTTCCTCAGGGCACGCCCAAGTGGCAAGTCGCATCCTGGCTGTCGCACCGGGGCACAGGCACACAGTCTGAGGCCGGTATTGCTGAACATTATCGCTTGCCTTCTGCCGGGATACTTTGTAGAGTGCAAGCAGCATCTGACACGGATTTCGTTTCATCACTACCCCGCATTTAGAGCCGCAGCTCGCTTCATCTACAATTTATTGTGTCCGCGGGGATGTATTGTACATTGACATAGAAGAAAGCACTTTGTCCCACTGGACTGGCACCGTCTGCTCCTTAGTGGAGAGACGAATGGTCCAGTCGTCCACTTGTCCCTCCAATTCACCGAGGAGCAGAAGTTGCCGGGACATGAGCCTAAGTTACAAAGGTGGCCTCCCAACTCGTGCTTCTCTTTTGCAGCTGTTCAGTTAATCTTCAATCAGCAGCCGTTGTCACGAAATCCGAAGCCCCATACCCAAAAACAAAAAATCCCTTATCCCTGAACCGGGGTAAGCCATCACAGCAACAACCGCAGTGCGAGCGGCACTTAGCCGACGGTGAAGAATCAACCACGTCATTGTAACTGTGAGTGTTAGAACTCGAACAGAGATCGTGTTCATCGTCTTGTAAAACTTGGAACACCAGTTTAACACGAAAATGACCGGGATGGACCTGTGAACACTCCAGTCGAGTAACCAAATTGTAGACCAAACCTTACAGCAGGCCTCTTGTAGAAAGCCACTTCTATTGACCACTTATCGTACCCCCTTTATACGAACCTTGTGTCCACCTAAAGTCTCCATCGTAGTTCCATTTTTTGCTTTAACCAACTAGGTATTTAGGATCCTACACGGTAGCATCAAAAAGGAACTACAATCCTAATCCCTAAACCCTAAACCCTAAACTACCATGGAGACTGTAGGTAGGCTAAACCCTAAACCCTAAACCCTCAAAAAGGAACTACCATGGAGACTGTAGGTAGGCTTTTATAGGGTTTCTTAGACAGCACTTGTCGGAAACCTGACCTCGGCAGCTTCGGCTCGTCGCACGGCTGCCTGCTCTCGCGCGTTTGGGTGGGTTTAAGGGGGTTTAGGGTTTCAGGGTTCAGGGTGTAGGGGTTTAAGGGGTTTAGGGTCTCAGGGTTTCGGGTTCAGGGTTTAGGGGTTTAAGGGGTTTAGGGTTTCGGGTTCAGGGTTTAGGGGTTTAAGGGGGGTTGAGTGCCAGGGGTTGGTTGGAGCTTAAGGCTTTGGGGTTGAACAGTCTGGGGTTCGGGTTTTGGTGTTTCGGGCGTCAGTTTATTGAATTTCTGGTTGAAGGGGTTTGAGCCTGGTCGACTTACGCTGG